TATTATACAGACTACTTACGAAATTAACAATAGAACTCTTGATAATGTTAGGATAACAATATGAAAAGTTCACTTTGGTTTATCATCGATTAACTGTTAAAAAATGCTGACCGTAAGGAACGTCGTAAGTTAGAAATCGATTTCCGCAAACAGTAACAAAGGACGACGGAAACGGAAATCCTCATCTCTGGCTGTACCAAAAATGTACCAAAGAGCATGGGTCGCGCGTATCGGAGGATCGATCGCGGCTCGCCACGCGCGACGATTGATTCACGATTGCATCGAGCGGTCGATCCAGAAGCGAGAACGATGGCTAAGCAGATAGGGCCACCTGTCTATTAGCTCCCGGTATCCCTGGTATCGGAGTTGTTGATCCTTTTCCGGACCCTGGGCGAGCGCTTCGTTAATTAATCTGGCAGCAACGGACTCGCCGCGCCACGCCACTCCGGCTCAAAGGCCACCCTTTCTCGCCCCGGTTCATCCATCCATTTACTTGCCGCGTGCGATCTTTTTCCCGACGCATTTCGACCGCAGTTGTACACGACCGGGAACAACGAGCCACGCCAGATAATTACAGTTAGAGAAAAAGGTGCCATCCGGATTTCACTCCATGCACCGCGTCGGCAATACACCGAATACGCGTCTGAAAAATCCTTACCCTCTAGCTAATTGAAATATTCACTCAGTTTTCATACTCCAGATTCGAAATCATTTTAATTAAATAATTTATTAGGAGTACAAATAAGTCTTGGCCATTTATTGCGAAAGATTTATTCAAAGTATTGTTCATCGCTGGCCACTACTTTTTCCCATCTTTCTGGCAACATCCGGATACCGGCGGAGACTTATTTGTCCAACAAAAAATATAACGGGATTTTATTCTGTTTGTTAGTGCACCGAACGATTCAACGATTTCACATCGTTATTTTTTCTACTCGGGTGCCTGTGGCACCCTTACGTCTAAATCTAAATGATTGCTAGAGCCATAGCTCGATGAAACACAAAAGAACGCGACGCGTGTCGCCGATGGATCGACGAACCACCGCCGTCGAAACAATCGGATCTCGAGGTCTCGCGGGGAACAACCGACTTTAGAGAGAGAGAGAGAGAGCGGCGGCGCGTCCAAGCGTCTGCGTCGTGACGGGTAAAGACGAAAATTAAGTCGTCCACCCCTCCAGCCCCGGCCCACTAATATACTCGTCGTGTGAATACCTACTCTTTTACTTGTCGAGCCGAACTATCAACGGCGTTGACCCCACGCCCGGACGGATAATCGACTGAAAATAACCCCAAGAGACACGGGACCCCCCTGGTTCCCCGGACTCAGCCTCTCGAATACAAAGTCGGTGCATCTGTTCCGTCGTTCGTGAAAGGAACGAATGACTCCGACAATTAGAGAGCAGAAATCCCGAGCGAAACGAGTCCCCGCACCCGTCCCCGGTCTCTTCTTCCTTTCTTACTCGCGCGATCACCGAGATTGCGCCGCCTGCGATGCGATCAACCGGAATCGGACAAATCAAATCGGCAGAACGATTACTGCATGTTCGAATAAAGCTCGAAAAAAGGGTTTATACAGTACAGCTAAACTGTCTCTCTCTTAAGTTCCGATTTAACAGCGTCGAATTTATCTATAGAACTGCTTACCGAGGAACTTGGTTTAACTCCGAATTGTCTTGTCTTGTAATTAAAGCGTAAAGTGGTTTTCCACGAGGGGTTGACAAGTTGTTTCTGCGACAATGCCCGTTCACTGGTAAAAGTAAACAACGAAAAACCGGGTTTTATCGTCTAATTCGCGGACGGTGGGCAGGCAATGGTCGTGACAAAGGGTACATTTAGTTAAATGCAACGGGCGAGCCGGTACGCTTCATTGTTTTCGTCCGGTTTGAGTGGGCACAATTAGATCACGCTGTATTTTCAACCCCCTTTGGATCACGGTGAGGGCCCAATTGGCTTCGTTGTAGACCAACGCTACTGTCGATCCGATACCGGGCCAGTTTCCATCGACGTGCATCGGTGCAACGTAGAGAATCTCTCTTTTCATCGATCTGATGACCACCTCGTCCATTCGTGCGGTAAGTGGATAGTCGATAGAGGGGACCGTCGACAGTGCCTTCTCGCACAGTCTGCCGGGGATTCGTTTATTTAATACTCATCGATTTTTTCTTTCACTTTTCCGTTCTCTCGTCGAACAACTTTATTATTTTCGTTGTTGTTCCTACGAAAGCCAACACTTAAAAATGAAACAGTCTACGAAGACAAGTGATATAGGAATCTCGATGTTAATTAATCGTAGAGAACGATTCTTTCTTTAACCAATACTTTAGCATTGAACTGGAGAACCAATTGAAAGCTTAAGCCAGAATTATATTCTGAGTTATATCAGAGGCCTGGCTCGTTGCACGAGTACATGTAATTCTGTAAAGGAACCGAGGGGCAGTAATTCAATTAATCGATCGTTCCCGTACGCGATCCGCAGGCCGTGGTCCTCTTAGCCCGAAGCCCGTTACCGGAAAACCAGTGCGAAAGTGCTAAACGAGCAATAAGAAAGTAATAGGGGAAAGTGCTCAAAGCAAGGAACCAGCCCCTTCGGGAGCCAACATGGGCGGGCTCCGCCGCGAATCAACGATCAGGGACAAGGGGGATAGATGGAGTACCACCGCCGCGGTAGCGGGCGCAATTACAGATTTTGAGTGACAGATGCTCGCCCAGTCGGCAGTCGGAAGATTAAAACAAGTAATCAAAGCCCCAGTAGCCAACACGGAATGGATATGGATGGATGCGTCCCCCTTATCCCCGCAGACCTTCACAAACGTTATACCCTCTCGCTCTCTTCATCTCTCCCTCCTAAGCCCCCAAACCCACCCCACCCCACCCGTTTTACTCCCTCTATCCCTTCGTGTCTCTTCGTTTTCGTGGCTGCGCCGCGTTTTCCCTCCGCCCGTCATCGCGCACCCTTCTTCTTCACCGGCCAGGGAGAGGGTAGCTGATAGCTGTACCTACTATGTACATATAATATCCACCTATCAAGCCGCGTTCTGAATGCCTCTTTAAGAAAATGTTTCTTTTTCGCGGAGCAGTCCTCCTCCTGGGCTGGGTTGGCAGGGAGGGGTTATTAGACGGTTCTGTAAGGGAACGCGGCAGAGAAAATCTAGCGGCCCGGGGGAAGACCGAAAGGGGGCTGAGGAAGGAAGGCTCAAACGACGAGCGAGTTCTATTTGGTTCTATTCCGCGGGAAGCGATACGATACGATTATAGATTATAAAATATAGACTATTATAAAGGGTGCATGTTGACGTGAAATCTTCCCTTGTTTATATCGCGCTTTCCATTAGATTGAGGAATTTTACTGTCTAATTCTATGTCCAGTTCTACCGGGTTTCTATTTACTTTCAAAACTAGTTTCAACGTATACTTGGCAGAAAGTCTCCGATCTTCCTTAACTTTGTCCTCGCGACGCGGTGTCAGTTTAATCGATGAGCCACATTTCGTAATTGTATTTAATGGTGATTGAATGCAGAGAGAAAATAGCGATCGGTAGAACGAATGTTATGGTCGTTTAATTTAGCTACGAGGAACAAGAGGAGCAATTAGAGCGAGAAGCCGTAGAGTAGCTGCCCCGATAATCGCGGGGACGCGAACGAAACAAAGCAGGCGATCGGAGACTAGGAAGTAATTAGGGACGAAAAATCCATGTCCAAGCTATCAACGAGCATTACGATAATCCATGCTTCTTATTTATTCAATCATTACTTTTGTCCCCGCCCCGTCCCAAATGATGTCGTGATTATCGTTGGTTAAAACAATAAAAGGTCAAAGAGAAGGAAGAGTTTACAATTATTAGACGAATGATCAAATAGGTGGACAATCCTCAAACACGCAGACGTAAGTCGTATTCTCTCTTATCGACTTCTACTTCTCTATGTCTGAAAGTTAATTTACGTCGGGTGAAAGAGGGCGCGAGCAGAATATGTTTAATCTTGAGATTTCGGCTCGCAAAGGAGAGGATTGAATTTTGTAGGGCGAGAGAAGATGAGCCGTTTATCTTCGGCGTCGCTTTTCAGTTTTTCCCCACTTCCCGGACTATCTTACATTCTGCGACCCTCTTCTCCGGCTGCTGCATCCCTTCCTACGGGGGCGTCACCGGCATGTTGGTAGGTATCGTCTTCGCAAAATAATAAGCTCTTCCTTACAAATTCATTGCGAATGCGCCCCCGTCGATTCGAACGATGGAGCCGGCCTCCTTTCCGGCACAGAGCCTCGTTAATATCGACCGATATCGTCTCCAGAGAAGAGTCTCTTCTTTTCAGAGACCGAAAAACTGCCTAATCGATTAATCGCAATAGCGTAATTAATTGAACCATTACTTTCTGATCGATGCATGTGACGTAACGTATCGTGCATATACGTAAATAGGAGTAAATTTGTATCGACGTTGCTGAGATGATAGATTATTGGACCGTGCGATTGCTTAAGCGACGATAATCGAGCTGGCTGGATTCCCCCCCCCCCCCGATCCATTCTTACATAAATTCGAGGGGAAGTGCTTTTGTTGCGGAAATGCGGAGAAGAGACGGTAATCCGGGGCGGACTTTCAGAGATTTGACCCGCTGCTATTACTTCCATCGCCACAAAGAATCAAATTAACCAACACAAGATTGCTGCTCTTTCCTCTATCCTCGCTCTCTTAGATTCTACCCTTGAATCCTCCCTATATCACACATGTACATACGAGCGCATTCATCCACCTTCTTCATCCCCTCTTACACATTCAATTCGAGCACCGCAAACGCAAACTCCCGTGCCCTTTGCTCTTGATTCAACGAGCACGCTTTGAATCTCGTCGAAAGAGTTCCGTTTATCAGCGAATCTCTCGATTACGTGAAATTACGAGAAATACCGCGTTTAATTTTATAATACGGAGCGCAACTGCCAGACTAAAGCGTGAGGGGAAAATAAAAATAAATAACATTCCGCTTTGTTTTTAACGAAATTTTCTCAAATATATATATATTAATATATTTCGCTCACATTATTTTTTTTATCACGATACAGTAATATATTGTACATTAAACTTTAGCGCATAGAAAAAGTGTTCGATGTTTAATTAACTGACTCAAAGTACTCTTTGCTGTCCTTCGGGTTTGGTTTAATTGTTTTAGAGTCTGGTTGCCAATTAGCGGGACAGACTTCTCCGTATTTCTCGACGAATTGGAATGCCTTGATCAGCCTCAGCGTTTCGTCCACACTTCTGCCAACTGGTAGATCGTTTATGCTCAACTGTCTCAATACCCCTTCCTTGTCTATAATGAAAAGACCGCGTAACGCAATTCCAGCGTCAGGGATAAGGACGTTGTATTTCGTAGATATCTCCTTGTTAAAGTCACTGAGAAGAGGATAGCCCAAGTCGCCACCCAAACCACCTTGTTTCCTAGGCGTGTTAATCCATGCCAAATGACTGAAGTGAGAATCCGTGGAAACTCCAATCACTTGTGTGTTCAAAGCTTTAAAGTCGTCAACTTTCTCGCTGAATGCTATCAACTCGGTAGGGCATACAAATGTGCTGAAAAGTAAATGACACAAGTTACTTTTAAGCAAATACTGAATTTCTTCCAAGTGGCTAATAGTTCATTGGATCAACGTACAAATCTAGAGGATAGAAGAAGAGAACGACATATTTCCCCCTGTAATCACTTAATTTGATGTCCTTGAAATCACCATTGACCACAGCAGTCCCGGAAAATTCAGGTGCTGGTTTTAGGATCTGAAGTAGACACGAATAAAGCTTGTTACCGACGCTAAAGTTACGAGCGTATTCCACTAACGATGGTTGCTTCGTTTTTACTAAAGTTGACGTTGCTCCAAGTACCTGGAATTATATCATTTATACATCGTATATACAATGTTAACTGACTTACATCGGATAAATGTCATAATAAATCTCAAAAAGTTAGGTTAAATATTCACCGTTTTGTAAACGCGAGGACGTAAAGATAAGCGAGTCACCAGACGAAGCATTGTTGCTCGTATTTAAACAGATAAAATAATCACAGCAAACGACCAAGTTATTTCACCGAACGGTAAGTAAAAGAATGTAAATTATTTTATACACGCTTTCCAAGAGGTTATATAATTCACTCTACTCTCCTTACAAATAATTACACATTTTAATAAAGTAATACGTAAACTCGATGATTATATTTATTACGATTGCGTTCTCGTTTTCGACCAGTTGTAAATTATCGCTAACCGAATGATTGTTAAAAATGTTACGAAATATTCTCCGTCGAAATTGCAAAGCACCCTTCGATCCAAATATTAGAGGGCGACTATTCACCGGACATGTCATTGGCCGGCTAAAATTTAAATTTGATCAATGAAATCGTAAAATCAGACGCAGAGCAATACTTAGAAATTCTTTAGGTGAAAATTATAATATTTACGATTTAATCAATATAACCAATATCACGATACAGTAATATATTGTACATTAAACTTTAGCGCATAGAAAAAGTGTTCGATGTTTAATTAACTGACTCAAAGTACTCTTTGCTGTCCTTCGGGTTTGGTTTAATTGTTTTAGAGTCTGGTTGCCAATTAGCGGGACAGACTTCTCCGTATTTCTCGACGAATTGGAATGCCTTGATCAGCCTCAGCGATTCGTCCACACTTCTGCCAACTGGTAGATCGTTTATGCTCAACTGTCTCAATACCCCTTCCTTGTCTATAATGAAAAGACCGCGTAACGCAATTCCAGCGTCAGGGATAAGGACGTTGTATTTCGTAGATATCTCCTTGTTAAAGTCACTGAGAAGAGGATAGCCCAAGTCGCCACCCAAACCACCTTGTTTCCTAGGCGTGTTAATCCATGCCAAATGACTGAAGTGAGAATCCGTGGAAACTCCAATCACTTGTGTGTTCAAAGCTTTAAAGTCGTCAACTTTCTCGCTGAATGCTATCAACTCGGTAGGGCATACAAATGTGCTGAAAAGTAAATGACACAAGTTACTTTTAAGCAAATACTGAATTTCTTCCAAGTGGCTAATAGTTCATTGGATCAACGTACAAATCTAGAGGATAGAAGAAGAGAACGACATATTTCCCCCTGTAATCACTTAATTTGATGTCCTTGAAATCACCATTGACCACAGCAGTCCCGGAAAATTCAGGTGCTGGTTTTAGGATCTGAAGTAGACACGAATAAAGCTTGTTACCGACGCTAAAGTTACGAGCGTATTCCACTAACGATGGTTGCTTCGTTTTTACTAAAGTTGACGTTGCTCCAAGTACCTGGAATTATATCATTTATACATCGTATATACAATGTTAACTGACTTACATCGGATAAATGTCATAATAAATCTCAAAAAGTTAGGTTAAATATTCACCGTTTTGTAAACGCGAGGACGTAAAGATAAGCGAGTCACCAGACGAAGCATTGTTGCTCGTATTTAAACAGATAAAATAATCACAGCAAACGACCAAGTTATTTCACCGAACGGTAAGTAAAAGAATGTAAATTATTTTATACACGCTTTCCAAGAGGTTATATAATTCACTCTACTCTCCTTACAAATAATTACACATTTTAATAAAGTAATACGTAAACTCGATGATTATATTTATTACGATTGCGTTCTCGTTTTCGACCAGTTGTAAATTATCGCTAACCGAATGATTGTTAAAAATGTTACGAAATATTCTCCGTCGAAATTGCAAAGCACCCTTCGATCCAAATATTAGAGGGCGACTATTCACCGGACATGTCATTGGCCGGCTAAAATTTAAATTTGATCAATGAAATCGTAAAATCAGACGCAGAGCAATACTTAGAAATTGTTTAGGTGAAAATTATAATATTTACGATTTAATCAATATAACCATGTTTTATTCAAATAACAATGTTATAAGTTTTGTATTCTTATTTAGTAATTAAACATTTATATATAAATTTCAATTACGAACGTTAATCGCAGCATTTAAACTGAGAATATCCAGTTGCTCCTACAATGAATGATATCATACAATTCGTCGACAAATTCGTTTGTTCCTAATTAACCGATTAGAAAACTTGATCATCTCCGATGAAACCAGACAGTCGATAAAAATTTTAATGCCTCCCGCGAATATTCAGGACGTTTCGAAATTGATACTATCAGCAAAAATGAAAAGAATAATCCAAATCTCATTTTGAAAATAACAAATTCTTTCGTTTGTCGTAGTTGTAACGTTTACATTTTTTAAGTTTTAATATTAAAACAAGATACACAAGTCTGTTTACACTATATAAGAGCGCGAAGGCTACACGATGCGTTGTGCATTCTTTTTGGAGCTACCTACGAAACAGTTTCTTGGAAAACCATTTTTCGAGTAACACAAAACAGATCTATCGACCCATGTAATGTACTGCCATTCGGATACAGTTGCATTTTCGTTTCTAATTGGAAGCTGTCGCAGTTGCAGTAGGCGCAGGGGTCGTAGTAGAAGTCGATTCTTCCGTGATGATTCGTCGATTCTTCTTTATCCTCTTCCATTCGCCGTTCGTGTAATTCATTTGGAAATGTGTTTCAACCAGCATCGGTACAGTTGTACCATCCGATTGAGTCACTTCTTCTATATTCTCCGAGAGCATTACAGTGACTATGTTGCCCAGTTTCGGGCAAGGATTATCTACATAAACGATGAAAAAAGATAATTAGTACATACGTCAAGACAACAATATACTGTACATAGATACTCACCCCTGGAGCCAGCCATGAAACCTAAAATAAGAGCTTTCTCTGGTCTTGTTACTTTATTAGCTGTTCTAAACATCTCTTGTGCTTCCAACATTTGCTCTCGCTACAAATAAGAAACAATGACCGATGATCTCGCTGTTACAGTATTTATTATATCGTGAACACTTTCGCTCACCGTGAGAGATAATCCTTTCCTCGTATTCGCGGCCGCGTTAGCAGGTTGCGCAGTGGTTTGTATACGTATCTGTGTAACCGTTTGCGCTGGTCTCACTGTTTGCACTCCGACGGGTGCGGTCTCCACTGGTGTAATAACGGCGGTCGGCGTAGCGACAGGTAAAACTGTGTTTGGAGTTGTAGGTGTAGTTGGTGTTGTAGCTGTATAACAAAAATCGGATTACTATCTGTTTAGTGTTTCTGTACGTTGCCTTATATAAAATCATACAGGTCTGTGGTGTCGATACTGCCGATACTACAGCAGTGGGAGTAGTAGGCGTCGCGTAAGACTGTACAGATGCGACAGGAGTGATGGGAGTGGCTGGCGGATTGATCGAAGCCAATCCTTGAGCATATTCCGGGGTCGTCGACGTCTCCGTCGTTGTCGTAACTGTCGACGCGGCAGCAGCAGCCGCTGCTTGAGCTTCCGCAACTTTCTTCTGCTGTTCTTCCAGTTCCATCATCCTCTTTCGTTTCTTCGCTTGGGCATACCCAAGCGGTTGTTCATTGATATCTAGCAGTTTGATACCACCGTCTTTTCGCATTCGATTACTAAGGGGCGTCCTGTTAGCCATCGACGAACTCGTAAGCGACGGGGATCGAAAACCACTTGTGGGAACTCGACTAGGAATACCCTTCAAAGGCGCTGAAAATAATATTTCGTGTCTTTATGTTCGTTTCGGAGTTCAGAATAATATTAATCAAAATATTCTTACTTGTGTCAGTCATTTTTCTAGGCATTCCTCTGTTTCTCACAGGCACTGTAGGAGCTGTACTCTTTTTCAAATTACTCGCTGCGTCTGTACTCTTCTGCAGTAGCTCTGCTCTCAAAGCAGCACTTTTTGGTTTTCTCTTTAGGGTGAAATGTTTAACTGGTGCAGGTTGTTGGCCAACCACAGAAGTAAGGGCAGTCTTATTGAGATAATGACACTCCAATGGAAGCATAGCTGGATCGTTTTGTTTTTTCAACAGTTTCCTGAGATCATTGACTAGCTCCCCGAAGATAGGCTTATGTTCATCCAAGTCTGTGATGTCTGTGTTTAAAGATCCAGTCGATGGAAACGTCTTCATCGCTTCGGATAACATTGACACCCATAATTCACTGTCCAACGATGCCACTTCAATGATTTCTTCCAATTCCACTCGCCACTGGGAAATGAAATGAAATCATACTTTAAATTAAGATAGATTGGATAGATGAATGAGAGAAGAATTAAGGATAACAGAAGATAGATAGAGAGTTGAAACCTATATTTATTCGAAAACACGTAATTACATGTGCTTTTAGGTTATTTTGCAAAAGAAATTTAAGTTTGTAAATATAATAAAAAACTGTGAGTCACAATCGCCATACATATTACGTCTTAGAATCCCTCAAAGACGTTAAATACGTAAACAAAAGCGATTTACGGAAAATGGTTTACTAGGAAATGTTCAATGCGTTAAAATCACAATTGTAATTAATTCACTGCGTATATTTTACGAATAACGCCCCCACTTTTTCGCGCCTTAAACATTCGTAACAAACAAACACTGCTTTAAGTACCTCCTCGACATTCCGTCTCGGTATGTGGAAGAACGAGAGGAGTAATTTAAGTTTAACTTGCGTTTGAAGATCTGGAAAACAGTCTTTGATATTCCGTAGCACTTCTGCATTGAGCTGCGAACAAATCGAGCTCCCAGTCCAGCTATCATTTGATGTTCCAAGCTTGTTATGAAGCCACAACGACGTATCACTGTCCCTCACATTCGCCATATTGGAGTCGTTTGTTCCGTGCATCTGATCCACATTGCCGCGGAGCGCCACGTTATTCCCGCCACAAACGTATACCATACTCGTACACGTACTCGAATTAAATTCTGCTCATCTCACCGCATATTTCAAGGATACCGTGACATTCTAACTCGTTCATTATCCGAATAATATAATTGTTCGACAACAGAGCACGTCATGAATGTCGGAACTGTTAGAAAATAAGTGAAAATCGACCAGTACATTTTAACAAAGGATTTCCCGCGAGTGCGGATCAGTGTAAAGGGTGTAAAGTGTAAACGGCGGCTTCCTATTCCTCATCAGAGAGAAAAACAAAAACTGAGAGTGCTCATGCCTTTGTTCTCTCGTGAGACCACTTCGAAAGTGCTGCACCTTGCGGCCAACTGGGGAAGATGGTCCACCTTAGCATATAGCAGAACCTTTGTAGGAGAAATCTACCTTGTCCGGTTCCACCGTAGCACAGACAAGAACCTCCAGTTCCACCGCAGCATAGATACACTATAGTCAGTATTACAGACGAGATATACGAGTAGATATATTATCGATGAAGTATATTCTTCTTTTCCCAGTTTGTGGGTCTTACATTTAAATTTTATTACTTATTGCATTACATCCAATTGTTTATATCGAACTTACAAGAGTAACGAGACTTTATGCAAAATCTACTCGTATACCTCGTCTGTAATACTACCTATAGTGTATCTATGCTACGGTGGAACTGAACAGGTCAGATCTCTGCTAAAAAGGTTCTGGTATATGCTAAGGTGGACCATCTTCCCCAGTTGGCCACAAGGTGCAGCACTAGTACGGGGACCGCGAAAACCCAGCCATGAGCACTCTCATTTTCTCTCTGTTCCTACTGCCAGACTGCCACCTCCTACTCCTACATCGCACGTCAGATTTGATTCGAAGTTACATTTTCATTTTAAAGTTTCTAAACAATACACGACGGACGATGTCAAGTACAAATGGATATATAGACTCACAGGAATCTGATATATTGCCTGAAGAGGAGTACAATATGTTGATAAAACATATGTAAGAAATACAACCTTGCTTTAACGTTTCATTGTCTTCAATATTCTTTAATTTCGCTTTCTTAAATTAGGGAATTATCATCGTCGTTCTGCACAAACACTTTGTTCCAAATGGAGGAGGATAAGATGGAAGAAAAATATGATTTGACGCAACAGTTTATTGAAGACAAACAAATAAAGGATGAAGTGGAAGAACAATATTATCATGGATCTGATTCTGTCATACCTGTGAAGGAAGAATTCGCCGGTGTTTACAATTTTCAAGTTTGTTTGGGTAACCAAGACTCAAGCAAACATTGGGTAGTAAGTGTATGATTGAGCTATTATTTATTCACGCTTTTTCTTTGTTAGCAAATCACTTTAATTTACTCTGATTTATTTGGTATAGTATTCGCAACCACTGAAAAAAGTGTTTATCAACATGGAACAGACGCTGCCTTTACGTTTCAAATGGCAACCACCTGACGACAGGTTTTTTTTACGTACTGCCATGGTCTTTAGTTTGGATCAGTACGCCAGTGATCCAGTCAGGAGATGCCATAATCACATGGCACCGACTTACGCGTTTAATAGAGAAATAGACCCAAGAGTAATCAAGCATGTCGTTAGATGCACGGATCAGCTTTCCGTTTATGAAGAAAGGAATGAACACTTATCCATAGTGACGCCTCTTAACAGACCACAGCCTGGATCAGAGTATGTGCCACTGTATTTTAAATTTTTATGTAAGAACAGCTGCCCATCTGGAATGAATCGCAGGCCGACAGAATTGATTTTCACTTTGGAAGATCGTAATAAACAAGTTTTAGGCAGGAGAAGACTCCCTGTAAGAGTTTGTAGTTGTCCTAAGAGAGATAAAAAGAAAGAGGAAGATGAATTGCCAAATAGTCAACCTGAGTTAAAAAAGAAGAAAGTCTGTATACCACAGGAAAGTTTGTATGCCAAGAAAATGATGCCTTCCTGTGATACACATGTATATAATGTTCAGTTAAGTATCGTTGGAAAAGAAAACTATTTAGCTGTTCTAAAATATGCATACGATATAATGGCTGGCCAGGCGTCGAGGACTGGCCAGTTCGAGTTCTTTAAACCATACATGGATGACATTCTGCATAAAACTCCATAATACATATCTGTGCCTTTCATAATTGCTCTTTAAATAGGGAAACTTATACATTTCAATGTTACCTGTTTATGTATATTATGAATTTAACAACTTATTTGTACTAACCATTAACATCGATCGATCGATAGAAGATCATAAGCTTTTATAATGCATGTTGATACTTATTCTATAAGTACTTTTTTAAATTAAAATTGTGATATTTTGACAATTTTTATACTTAGATATATGACAAACTTGTTAATATCTAATACAGTAATAATAAAAAATTATGCTACTTTTTTCATAACATGTATATATATATATATATAATTTTACAAACTATGCTGCTCTTCTGAACGATATTCTATTAACTGAATGTTCAGAGTGTGCAATAACAAAGCATCTGGTAAAGGTGCGATGTGTTGTGATGTTAATACCATAGGATGTATGAGACTCGCTACACTTCTCCTTATCTTTATTTCAGCTCCATTCTCTCCTTGACCATGCAAACTCCATTCCCATGGGATTTTTCCTGTGCCACCGATCCAAACTGTTTCTTCCTCGCACTGTACATTCATGATTCATGGCATCATTCTTTACATAAATGAGGAGAATTTCACCAAAGTAAAAGAACATACCTGTATGAAAAAGAGGTCTTCGCCGTGATGCAGTATGTACATAGCTTCCGAACCCAGCGGGAAAGGTACTGGAATCTTTACGCAAATAGAATAAAAATGAACTTGTGGCATTTGGTGAGTTTCACTCAAATGTTCTAATACTACGTCAGGCGCGATGATGTCTCTACAACCGCTTTGCTTTGAAGAAGGGCACACAATTTCAATAGAAGACGCGACAGAATCCGTTGAACCTCCCCAAACTGGAGTTGGAGATGTGCTAGTTAAGCTCTTAACAGCGCTTTCATTATTTTGCAATTGACTATTGATATTATCTCTGGTCGTTTCTTTTGACAATTCTCCGGTACTCGCAGATTTTGCTCGATCATACAAATTCAAACGTTCATTGCGATTAAAATTACTTAACGACGAAGTGTTCACGCTTGATGTTTGGAGAGAGACCGTTGCTAAATTATCCGCTGAAGCTGCTTTCTCTAATCCGCTGCGAAATAACTTAGTTAATAATAATTGACATGGATTCGTCCCACTGCTTGTTCCTTCTACCTTCATTGCTTGTTTCCTTTCATTACTTTTACCAAAAAGTCGATCTCGGAGATTTTGTGTACGACATTTCACATCGTCGGATGAATTATCTCTCGTGTCGAAAACATCGACAAGTGTTTTATGAAGTTTATCCGCGAGCAAGCATCTACCTTGGCCTAATCGAACTCTACAAACCGGACAACGAGGTGTCCTTGGTCTACATCCAACACAAACGATGTGACCGTGAACGCATTGAGAGACCGGGGGCAGTGAACTTTCTAGGCAAACTGGACATTCCAAAGCTCGTACCTACATGGAAATATAATAGTTTATAGAATTGTAGTCAGCATTTAAAAAATGCTTTGTAAAAAACTATCAGTACGCACGATACCGGATACCGCATTTGCAAGTTTGCCGGCTATTTCTGGTAACGGTCCCTTGACAGCTATTCCCACATCTGTTTCCTTCTCTTCTTCTTTGACGTATCTCCAAACAAACATTTTTAAATCGACTTCCTGATGAGATTCAACAAGTGCTGCTATCCGTTTAATCTTCCATCCAATTACATCCTTCCCGTCGATACTAATTAAACAATCACCAGCTCTGCATGCAAAGATCGTGTTAAATTCTTCTTCTACTTCCTTGTAATGTACATACGTACATGAGTAAATTCTTTTTTATTCTTACTTAAGACCGGCGGTATCGGCAAGACTTTCGACTTCAACATGGCTTACCCATGGATAAGGATCCCATTTAGATTTAGTTAAATGAAATCCGCAACATCTGCCAAGCGCTTTAGCTTCTTTTATATTTTCAAAAATTACACAAATTTTCCCGGTGGACGTTGAATCGATCGAATTACGATCTCCCGTCATATAAATTTTGACACCCGCGGCCTCCGTTAAAAGTTTCGAAGTAGATGTAACAGACATAGTTCTTTTTCATAGAATTTGTTTTATGTATTCATGAAGAAACTGTTATAACTATTCTATTTATTCTTCGCATGATTAAATTATCGAGGATTAAATTATCGAGGATGTGAACGATACCGCGCGATGTTTACGTGATCCTCGCGTTGGAGAAACTGATTTAAAATAACTACGAGTCTGTTCTCTTAACAAGGAACAAGGTAAAATTCATACCTGTTCACCTTCACTTTACTCAATTTCGTATCCTTGACATTTATTTTTCGCGGTACAAAATGTAACTTCGCTATTTTTTCCTACATACTTAAATTAACTGTACAATGTTAATAGGAAATACAAAGTGAATTGAAAACTCTATTCTCTCTAACTTAAAGAAAATATAAATACGTTCTTCATCAATACATTTGCTTCTTAATTATGATTAATTATCCCAGACAACACAGATGAATTAATACTTATAAATTAACTGTACATTGTTAATAGGAAATACAAAAAATCCATTCTCTTTAACTTAACAGAGAACATAAATACATTTTTCATCGATATATACATTTGCTTATTAATTATCATCAAATTATCATCTAGTAAATGAACGTTGGAAACAAACGTTTGATCATACGGTATCTCTGTGAAATAATCTCGCATTAGATAAGATCTTTCATTTGCATTTCTTTCCATTTTCATGGAAGCGTGATAAAACTTGTCGATAATTCGAATAAATTGTTTCGGGAAATCGAATTAGTTCGAATTGTTCAACCGAAACTTGGTAGTATGCAGATAGGAGTTCGTCAGTCTCGAGGTTAATTTCGCATGGAGGTTCATGTGCCGCTACTTGGCTGCGCTCGCGTTCCTCGCGATTCGCAAGACCGTCACACTTCCGATTCTACATTCTTTGTGAAACATATGGCTCCCCTGTTCTGCTCTCTGTATTCTGTACCTGTACCTCTGTATTCGGCTCTGTAGTGATTGCTGCGGACATGGTTAACTGTGGATTGCAGCATTATGTAGATACGACTGTAAGAACGATTTAAAGCCAATAACGCTTTTTGGTGTTCGCGTGAGGATATCACAGAAAAATGACTCGCTCGGTGTCATCGGACTTTTAGGAATTAATGAAACTGAAAAAGCGGAAGAGTCTGTGCGCGCAGTGCGTGAATATGCCCGCCAAGGTCTCAAAGAAGGTCGTGGGCATGATCGTACGAAGCCGAAAATTCATTATTAAGGATGGGGTCATTACGGTACTGAAACATTCAGTTTAATACTTATTAGATTTTTAAGTTACGTCTCTCAACCCTTCTATGTACATTTATTCTCTGATTTCGCGCCGGAAGTAAGTACATATTTCCTTTCGCATGGCAAAGTATTAACGATAATTATTTTGTGTTTATCTTCTGTTAGACAATCCATGAATAACAATAAAATACAAGATCGATTGATCTAACTTGTTTCGCAAGATCGCAAATCATTACGAGATATGGACATCAGCCTGATTACACAGTTATTATTTCTGACATTGACACATGAGTCAATCTTTATCCATTTTTATGCATTACACGTTAGAAAAGTCCATTATCATGCAAAAAGTTGGAAAGAATGCAATACTACATACATTTTTGTTCTGATAATTGTAAGTTTGTTCCAAGCATAGATTTCATGTCTTTGTTTCAAAATATCATACGTTTTATATCGTTTTTAATTTGGGATTACAATACACTAATTGTAACCAGACGATGAGATAATAATAATGTTCTTAACATTTAGTTATAATGAGTGTTTTTTGATTGAACTTTTGTTTGTTATTCTAATCAATGAAACATTAAGAACCTGCAACCAGCTTCTTTATTTCATTTTGTACTTTATTTAAATGAACACTCACAAGAGTTACTGCTTTCTTGTTTTATGACTTGACTAGAATTAATTAGAATATTATCTCAATATAATTATTATTTTCAACACAAA